CACACTGGCTCACTCTGCCTCTTCTGCTATTAAGATGAGGAGGGCCTGGGGGGAGGGGAGGGGCCTCAGGGCAAGAAGACCAGCTCAGGGGCTGTGGAACAGGATTAAAAAGCAAAGACATGCAAGAGACCTGTGTTTGACCCTTACTAAGCTTTGATTAACTGGTTGCACTAGGCCAAGTTACTTGACTTCTCTCATTCTGACCTTCAGAATGCTCATCAGTAAAAAAGGAGTCATGATTATTTTCTTACAATCTTGCTATTTGAGTTAATGTTGCACAAAAGCCTTTTGTACGCTGAAGTCGTGAGCAAAAATGCCATCTATGCAGGGTTTGTTTGTGATATGTAGCGCTGGGCTTCTCCTCCCCGGACTCTGTGCTCACAGAGTTCTCTTGCCCACCAAGGCCTTGGGCCAGTTCCTTTTTGTGCCCAGTGCTGAACTTCTCTCTTACAACTCAAGCGGTGAGAATACGTGGTTTGGGACTAGGCTGGCTTTACATTATTGTCTGGAACACGAGCTGACAAGCAACACACTCTGGCTTCTGCCTCCTCCTTTTTTGGGTAGCAAAGTGCTCAAGTACTGACAGGTTCTCAGGTACAAATCCACAAAGCAAGCATTGCTGAGAGAGAGGCCAATCTGAAGTCTACGACTCATATTTTCACAGTTACAGAACTTTGTGCAGCAAAACAGTAAATAACAGAATGGGAATGGCCTTAAAGGTCATTTGGTCCAACTTGCTCATGTTTTACACAGAGAAACTATGAAGGAAGGAAAGGGTCTCACCAAGGACCATGGAGAAAGTTAGGACAGAGCTGCGGTGCTTCCCTCACATGCTGCATGGCACCTCTTTATTGGGCACACTATGAGATTTGCTTGTCATTTTTTACCCTATCTGTCGTCCTGTTTCCATGATGAAAGTTACTACTTGGCTCATATATTAGGTATTTTTTGGTCACTAAGACACAAAAGAGTGGACACCCATAACTCTAAGGAGGAAAGTTTTATTTGGGTCAGTTTGTAGGGGATCCAGTCCACCATCAGCTGGCTGCAACAGGGCCACCTAACAGGGGTGGATCCCAGAAAGGAAGCAGCTGGTGGCCTGGCACACAGGAGGCAGAGAGAGATCAGTGGGTGGGGGACATAGACCTCCCCTGGCACATCCCCAGTGGCCCAGCTCCCCTGACAGATCCCACCCCCTAAGAGCAAGTCAACTACAGCTCCTTGGTGCACTAACCCACTGTGAGTATCACACCCCATGGTCCACTCAGCTCCCCAAAGCCTTACCTCGGAGCACCTGCGGCGCTGGGGCCATGCAGACGCAAACTATGGCAGCTCCTATCACTGCAGCCCAGAGCAAAAGAAGCCTGGGTTTGGAGCACCAGCCGCTCTGCACTTTCACTTACTTATCAGACATTAGTACCAGCTTTGTGCCAATGACTGAGGACACTGAGATAAAATATCCGGGCCCTACCTGACGGTGTTCAGAATTAAGTGATGAGGGCAGACACGTGCCCCATCCCCTGGACAGAAGGCTATTTTCCATACCATTAAATGGAACACTCATCCCATCTGTGAACTGCATTTCATATTTAAGGACTGCACTGACTCTCTTCATATGCAGATTATGGGACTGATCTTCTCAGGAAGATTTATATCAAATGCCTCAGTCCCCCTCATTTATTCATTCTCTCAAAAAAGAAAATTGTAAACCACCTAGTACACATTACCAGAGATTCAGAGATAAATAAAGGACAGTCCTCTCCCAAGAAACTAACAATCCAGTAGAGAAATAATGATCTTGGGAGATTTACATGGCAAGGGCGATGCCTAGGAGAAAAGGTGTCCATGTCTGCCACAAGGTTTCAGAAGGACAGGGGCACCTTCCAGGAAAAGAGCTTGTCCCGAGCCATGGGAGTGTGGAGTGCGCAGTCCTGGGACTGGTAGCAGCTAATTATTGTTGGTATAAGAAGTGAAAGGCTGGCTGAACGTGAGGATGGGCTCGGGCAGGACCTCCGTCACGCTGAGGCCATGGGGCTGTGTCCTGGAGGTGGAGGATGCTGAGGGCTTGGGGAAGAGATTGCAAGGTTTGCATTAGGGAAAATCTCTCGGCCCCGCCCAGTGGGGAAGGTAGGTGGAGTCAGGGCACTCAGGGAGGAGGCCAGCCATTCATATGGGCCTGACCAGGCCTGACAAGTGGCAGCACCACCCTGAGCCAGCCCAGAGCTTGACTTTCCACAGGATCCACCCATGACTACCTGAGGCACGCAGTTACACATGCGAGTCTCCAAGAGTGACTCAGGGCCCTGACAATGCGCCTGTGTGCAGGAGAACATCCTCTCCCAGTCGGCGGGGACAGGCTAAGGCATTACAAGTGATCCGTGGACAATCCAGACTCTCTGAACTGAACATTGTTGAACTTCTAAAGATTCTTGGGGGAGGTGGTTTTTAATGCCTTTAATCCATTTTCCCATCATTAATACGAAGTCACTTCTAAGCTTGTAGTTTTAGTGAATCTGTCTTTTCCAAACAAAGCATCCAGGCTGCCAAAGTGACAGATCCCTGTCACCTTTTATTTTAGAACTGTCCTGGCTTTTTTCCTTCTGTTCCTTTCCCTGAAATTCCTTTCATCCTCTTGTCTCTCTATGAGTCTATACCAGAGTCCTGTAGACCCAGGTTCAAATTCCAGTTTTGCTGTGCCTGCACTGTGACTTTGTGCAGGTTAGCCCAGTGTTCGGAGCCTCAGAGAGCTCCCTAACCAGTTCCCCAGCTCTCCCCACAGCCAGCACTGCACCTTCAGTAGCTGTTTCTCTGACCTGGGACTCTAGTTTAATAGTGAAGGTTTGTGCTTCTGTACCGAGAAGAGCAAAGTGAAGCATCAAGAGGCTGGGCAATACATCTTTTGATTATCAGAATAACCATGAATTGCAGTTTTCTTACCCAAATTAATTAAACCTGACATCAGAGTACCCACTTGATTTCCATATCCAGCTGTGGAATCCCACAGTAACCTATAATTAAGAGACAGCTGCTAATAAGAGACTTGAAACTAAAAGCAAAAATAGAGAAGCTCCATGATAAAGGGCATATCCGCTGATCCTGGGTCCTCTTCCCAAACTGAGGGGCTTGGAAGCATCTGACCATCCTAACATTGCTATCTGGCTGCTGCCAGCCATTGGCAGGAGCCGACTGGAAGCCTTCCCTGGGAGTAGCAAGCATAATTTGCTTTCATCACACAGAAAGAATTATTCAGTGTTAGGACAGGTTCCTGACAATGGGTGTGGAATCTTGTTTTAGAAGAAGATTTTTTTAAAATAATGACAATAAGGTACATGATGAACTTACCCTGCTGAGCTCTTGCAAGCATAGACCTGCTCAGAGCCCAGGAGCAGATTCCTTTCGAGCACATTGAAGAACAGGGTCCACTTGGGTAAATCCTTCAAAATCTATCTCACTCTCCTCTAAGTAGCTTTTAAAGATGAACTGGCAGTTTTATTATTCTGGCGACCCTTCAGATTTTCAAGATTATTTTGACTTTTAAAATCTATCTATGGTTAATTTATTCTTTGAAATCTTTCAATTATTATAAAGCAACAAATCAAAGGGAAAAAATTTTAAATATCCTTAATTTTCCAGCACTAATGCAACAATTATTTTATTTATTTATTTGTTTCAAGAGACATAGATTTACTAGGCAGAATTAAAGAAGTACACACCCAAGGGAGTGTAAAAGAGGTATCTGCAACTATTTTAATGACAAAGTATTCTTTTGGGTCTTTGCTTGCCTAGTATTTCTTAAGTAGCTATTATTGAAAGAGTTCATAGTATCTGCTTTATTAATGAAGCCTTTATTAATATCTGCTTTACTAACATTACTTTAAATAACACATATAAGAAGTGGCCCAATCAGGAGAAACAGTCAGGAAAGACTGCAAACATACCCCATGTCCCTGCTCTCCACTGTGACATTGGCCAGCTAACCTGGCACATAATTGATACAGGTAATATTATTTTATGCCTGATAATATTTACTTCCAATCAGTAGCAAGAACTAAAATTCACCAACCAATCCCTAGAAAGTCACCAAGACTTTCTTAACTCTGAAGACAATACTGTAGAAATGTATACAGAGAGGAGAAGAGAATTAAAATGACTAATGAAAATGAGCTGTTTTCACTTTTTGGGGGGGTTGGGTTACCAGGGATTGAACCCAGGACTTTGCGCTTGTGAGGTAGTCAGCAGCACCACGGAGCTAAATCCCCGGTCTGTTTTCACTTTTAAAAAGCTAAAATTTTAGAACTAGGACAACTAAGATGCTTTATGATTGCTCATCAAGTTTTTAAAGCTACTTTTTGATAATTTATTATGACTCTTTTCATTCTTGTCAATAATCCCTTTTAATAGCCTCGGGATCTACATGTAGAATTTGACGCTGGGGCTGAACGTGGGTTGTCAGCCTGTGATCCCAGCCACTTGGGAGGCTGAAGCAAGAGGATCCCAAGTTTAAGGCAACCCAAGTAATTTAGTGAGACCTTGCCTCAAAATAACAATAAAAAGGGCTAAGGGTCTAGACCGGGGACAGAGGGCATATACACGGTCTTGGGTTCAGGCCCTGGTTACCCACCCAACCACCCGCTGCCAAAGAAAATTAGGTACCTGGTACCAAGTGCTAATGTAATTAATAAAAGAAGAAGCAGAAGAGCTTCCCCTGCCTGATAAGAGCAGCATAAACAGGAATGGCTGCCTGGTTTCCGCTCAGGAGCCAAGCTCTGTGACAGTGATGTGATGGGGAATGGCAGCGAGTGCCACAGCCCTTCAAACTGTCTCAAAGTCTGTTTCCTTCCTGTCTTTTCTGTCACACCAAGAAGGAGGTGGACCTGGGGGGACTGAGCAGACTGGCCGCAGTGAGCTCCTTTCAGGGGCACGCGGAACTCCAGCCAACTCCTACTCAGCTTGACATGGTCATGCCATGAGGCTAATTGCCTTGGTCTGCTCTTCTCCAGGCAGAATGGGGAAGCAGAACAGCAAACTGGCCCCTGAGGTCATGGAGGACCTGGTGAAGAGCACGGAGTTCAACGAGCACGAGCTCAAGCAGTGGTACAAGGGGTTCCTCAAGGACTGCCCGAGCGGGAGGCTGAACCTCGAGGAGTTCCAGCAGCTCTACGTGAAGGTGAGCGCTCCCAGCCACCTGCCTTCCTTACACCACAAGTATTGTCTTCAGTGAAGACAACCGTCACGTGTATTATTAGCAGCCAGTTTGTTCCGATCCCGATTTTCTATCCAAAAGCAAAATTGGCACCCCAGGTATCAGGAGGCTGAGGGAAGAGAATCAAAAGTTCTAGGCCAGACCCTTCCTCAGAGTCAAGCTTTTAAAAGTAGGGAATATAGCTTCGTCTTGGAGCACTTGCCCAGAACATACAAGGTCCTGGATCCAGTCCCCAGTACTATAAAAAGAAGTGCGTGTGTGTGGTGATCAAAGTGTACAGTGAATATTAACAATTTTTTAAAACTATTACAGTAAAAGGTACATTGCCATTAATCTCCCTCAAAATCCTACCCCTAACTTTGAGCACATTTATCCCATCATTGCCACTTTCTGAAGCAGTTCTGGGGTCCTCTCTTATGAGCGTCTTTATGAGGTGTGATCAAACATACAGTGTTGCTGCTAGATGCCACCCAGTGGAAAGGCAGGCTTATGAAAGCACAATGGTGTGTCCTCATCCACCTTATTCACCTGACCTGGCATCATGTGGCTTCTGGCTCTTCTCCAAAGTGAAAAGAATCATGAAAGAAAAACATTCTGAATTGATTCAAGACATTGAGGCAGCCCCGACAGTGTAACTGAGACACTAACGAAAGAGGACTTGAACTGTGTTCAAAGCAAGGGGACTATTTTGAGGGAGATTAATGGAAATGTGTCTTTTACTGTAATAAATTCTTTTAATTTAAACACACACTATATTTTCCAATCACACTTCATGTATGTATATAGTTCCAGACATAGTCAAACAATCTGAACTGTTAAGTCTGTACGCTGAATAGAGTTTGGAGGACCAGCATCAGTGAAAAACAAGAAAAACCTCAGATAATTGTGTTTGCTAATGAGTATTGACAAGCTGCTAATGAAACATTTTTTGGCTTGTTGAAAGTGTGTGTGTGTGTGTGTGTCTGTGTGTGTGTGTGTGTGTGTGTGATAACTAAAGAGAAAATACCTGGGAGGGCTTTTGCATCAAGAAAAGTCTCCCCAGAGGCAGATAAGAACCCAGATTCTCACTGCAGCCCATTTAGACGAAAAGGGTGGAGTAAGACTGGGGCATCAATATCAGCACCATCAGCTCAGCATTTCACACTGTTTGGAAGCTGACCTTTCCCTGAATATTAGCTAGAACTTTCCCATAAAAGCATAATTTCTACTGCAGCAGTATTATTTTGATATGTCTGAGTTTATGAATTATATTGATTCTAGTTCGGGCACTGAGACATTCTGGTTTGTGTATGCTTATATAATGTTATACTTGTGAAAGAAATGCATTTTTAAAACTTTTTCTAACTAAAATATGAATAGAAAATATTACTTTAATCATTTAATTGTGGCAAATGTCAATTTGAGTAATATGAACTATCCAAATTACATATATATGAATATGGGATGCTCGTACAGAATTTTAAACATTATTATCCTCTCCGAAGCAGAACATTTTCCATAGTCTGTGATCCAGCAAGAGGACTCTTGCACATACACATGAAGGGACATGTGTAAGAATGTTCATTATTACATTGCTCACAGGTACCAAACTGGGAAGCAACCCAATTGCCCATCAAATGGAAAGTGAAAAATAAACTGTGGCATATTCACATAAAATGTTACACAGCCATCAAAATGGTTGAACTCTAGCAATGCTAAAACACTAAGTGCAGAAGTGAGATTTAAAGATTCTAAACTGAACAGAAATAAAATAAAAATATGCTTTTACAGGATCACAAGTAAATGCAATGAAATGCTATAAACAGGAAAGGAAAGGTGCCAGAGATTTAGCTCAGTGGCACTGCGCCTGCCTTGCAAGCACAGGGTCCTGAGTCTGATCCCTGATAGCAAAAAAAAGGAAGCCAAAGAAGTGATAAACATAGGATTCAGACTGATGGTGGCTTCTAGTGGAGAGAAACAAGGGAAGAAAACAGGTATGCCTGCGTAGTTAGACAAAGACTGTGTCATAGTCATGGTGGTTGTCCTTGGTGGTGAGTGTGTAGGTGCTTTACTGCATTAAAAGCTCATTAACCAATGAAAACAAATGATCAGCCACTGATGAGTGTCAGCAACCCAGGCTTGTGATTAATCCAGAGTCCCCATGGGAATCTACCAAATTCTATCCTTAAATATGGGTAGAAGAATATATATATATGAAATGATGAGAAACACATCTATTATCTAATTGATGTCAGCTGCTCTTGTAGAGAAGTGGGATAGATGCATTTCCTAGACTTTACGCCACTCTGTGTAGCTTTTTGTCACATCCTTGGCCATTTTCTCACATGGAGTTCAGAACCATCTTCACCTTCATCCCCAGGGAAAGTACAGGAAAGTGAAATGTGTCACTTTCATATCATTAGAGCTCATGCAAGTGTTACCTGTGAATAAGAGAACACTGTGTGCCACAGTCCTCACCATTTGTTTACAGTTAGAAGGGTCTTGCCTTGGAAGAAATGATTCAAATGCAGGAAATGAGGTATTTCATACATGCCCTGAATGCTCAGTGCTGAGACGCCTGCACCTCAAACTGGGGGCTCTGTGTACACGGCAGCACCGCCTCTGCTCCAGGGACAGCTGAGGTCTCTGGGCCCAAAGCATCGCCGCTTCCCCTCAGCCCGAGTGGGCTTCTTGTTAAAGAGAAGGGACACATAACTTTCTGAACTGATAGGTGACAGTCTTGGCAGCTCCTTATTTCAGCCTCTTAATAAGATTTAAAACCAGCCCGTGTCCTTTGTCAGAGGGCAGAAAGCAGGAAAAGTCTTTATCCCGCCAGAATAGTCCAAGGACAGAAATAAAGGGAGAATCACAGAAGAAATGTGTCACGTACACAGAAAGGAAAAAGGCAGTTCTAGCTAGAAGAAGCAGGATGTGGCTTATGTAAGAGGCCCAAGAGAGGGACTGATGAGGAAAATGTCCTTTAATGCTCCTGGAAAATGCAAGTATTCAGTAAGACAGAGCCGTCACACTGGAAGATGGGCACCTTCTCCACTGGGTGCAGGTGACGTCTTCCCTCCTGCTCCTGAACCCCTGGCCTGGTTTCCACTGCTGACCTGAGCATTTCAGGTTCCAAACAACTCACCTTGGCTGAGCTAGAGCAGTTCTGATGGGCACTGGGCTGGAGCAGGACAGTGGTGAATGCACAGCTACAAGGCCAGGAGCCCCAGCTTCAGAAGCCTTTGAGGCCCATGTGTAAAGGAACGCCATCTACACTAGATCTGCTTTAGAGATGTTAAAACATGGGTCTGGCAGTATGAAGCCACTTGTCCGACATCACAGAGTGATGGCAGGATGGACATTAGACAGGAATGCACACTCCCATGACAGCTGGCGTCTCAGCTTCTCGGTGAACTCCCAAGGTAGCGCTGTATCAGCCCCCTGACCCACTGCTGTGCAGCTGCTGGAAAGACCTTTGTACAACAGATCTGGGTGTGGTGCTTCCTAGTGCAGTGTGGGTTTTATGCTTCACTTGTGCAGACAACTGTCACCACATTTCAGTCAACATAGGCCCCATGCCTAGCATACAGCCTGCCTCCCCTGAGTATCAGCAGGGGTTGGTGGCTGGCTATGTGTCCCTTGTCAAGGAAACCTTGTGATGAAGACACGCACAAATTGGTAAAGCACAGTGCTGTCTGGCCTCCAGGATCTCCTGGGATAATCAGGAAGGCACAACCGAATTCCAAGGAGGCATGACATGCATGCTTGGGCCGAGACAAGAGTGGAAAACAGAGAGGTTAACTTAAAAACAGAATATTACCACGAGAAATTAATTAATGCAGTGAGAGGAGGAGTACTTTGCTCTTAATTGTAAAAAACAAAATATTCTCGTTCGAGCTTGGTACCTGTTACCAGCTTAATTGTGCACCACACAAATTCTTATGTGGAAGCGCTAAGCCCCAGTATCTTACTTAGAAGGTAACTCTGTGAGAGAAAGGGTCTGTAATGATGGGGTTAAGTTACAGTGAGGTCACTGCCATGGGCCCTAGTCCAGTGTGCCTGGGGGCCTTTGAGAAGAGGAAATTTGCACATAAGGGCATGTACAGGGAAGACCACACAGAGACCAGGGAAAAGACAGCTACCTACAGGTCAAGGAGAGAGACACACCTTGTCTAGGATCCCCAGCCTCCAGAGCCTTAAAACATAAATTTCTGTTGGTTAAGCCATCAGGTCTGCTACGGCAGCCCTAGAGCACAAGTGCAGTCTCCACTCCTGTCCTGCTGGCATGTGATAGAAAGGGTGCCTCTGTCAGGAGTGTCCTGTCCGGCACCCCGAACACGGGGCTTTCTGTGTCTCTGGTCGCAGAAGTAGCAGCGGATGCTCCCACATCCTTTCCACAGCACTGGTGTGGACAGGCTGGGAAGAACTTTTACATTTTGTCAGCATGAACCAAGGGCCTGATTTTTCTCCCCATGAGAATTTCCTGTTTCCAACAATCACTTTGATTGCAACATCAAGGTCACAACGTAAGACAGAAAGTTTTGGAGAAGCAACCACAGTTTTGAAAGATAAGCCGAGTCTCAAGGAGCTCAGGAGCTGTGTGGGGGCGGAAGTGTACCTGTCCCAGGGTGCTCTTCCTTGGAGGAGGCCGATGCCACTCCTTGTTTGCTTAGCCACTGTGGCATCAAAGCCAAAGAAACAAATGAACAAATCTAGCAGAGTCCTGAAAACAGCCCTACATGGATGTTGGTATAAGTTTGGTTTGACTTTCAAGGCTATTTTCATCAGGAGCCATTGTGCTAGCTCTGGTTGAGTTGAAAAGGTAGTCACAGGCTTAGTTTAAAACAATCATAGGAGTTGGAATCTGACAGATGTGAGGTCAACCCTCACTTGCTGTGCCTACCAAATGTCTGCCTCCTTGAGCCTCAGTTTTCTTATCTACAGGGTGGAAATAATAAGACTTGTCTTGTCACCCAGGTCTGTGAATT